ACCAACTCTTTTCTTACGCCGTAAACAACATCCGGACGAGAAACGGATGTAATCAGCGGCAGTGTCTGAACGACAGAAATTATAGCTTGTTCAAATATCGCGATCAAACGAACGACAGGTAAGACAACATGACAACTGAGGAGAGCTAAAGGAGAGGGAGGGGAGAAAATAAAAAAAAAAAAAAACGCAAAACTTAATTTGGTCGGCTATTTCATGCCAGATGCATTAACGGCCCGTAATTATGAGCGACGGCGACAGCGCTGCGGCCCACCCCGCGCCGAGTCGAAACCAAACAGGTTTCCACACCGAGACGTTCGCGAGAAACGTGGAGAGGAAGAAACGCCAATCGAAGGTTTCATCGGCCTGTTTTCCTCGGCTAATTAGGACGGCGAGGATGGAGAGTCCCGCCAGTTTCTCGTCGTCTCGTCCGCGCCTTCTAGTTGTGTGCCTCCGATTTGTCGAAAACGAGGCAAACACCGGTCAAACTCGTCGGGCCCGGTTTCTTGGGGGGGGGAAAAACAAAATGGAGGCAAAGGATTGGATCGAGGAGCCGGAACCCATTTCCGTACAAACTGTATCGGCAACAAACTTAAACTACAAAGAAAAAAAAAATCGTACGCAACGTGGGGTCAAAGTATCTCGAGTTGGCTGAACAGACAAACTGGAGCGAAAAATTTGACGAGAAAAAAAAAAAAAAAAGGGGGGGGGGGGGGGGTTCTAATAAAGCAGGCAGGTCAGATTTCAAGCTTCGGTGAACCGCTTCGGTGGTAGAGCACCGATTCGATCAGCGGTCGAGACGTTCGGGATCTGGTGTGAGTGATCGAAGCTTGTTACGTAGTACGCCTCAGTACGAGAACGGTGTGGCGATTCAAGTTTCCCCGCAGTTCACCGCTAGTTGCAAAAAATGAGCAACGTTCGGAACATCGGCGTATCTGAGAGACTGCAGGTTCGTGCATCTCCTACCGGCCAAATGAATGCTCGAGACAAGGTTGCGAAAGTATGTCTAAAAATTTCGGGTGTTTGTTTGCACGTCGCGGTTCGCCAACGACGGACAGAGGGACGCTATATGCAATGAATGATGTGACTGGTTCGAGCCATTGTACAGCCTTTTTTTTTTGAGCAGCCAAAAATTTTGTTTTGTTGGGGCGGTAAAAATGACCTTTGGCGCAAAATATACTTCGTTCTCGTTATTATTTTTGGTATGCAAGCGAAGGTAAACCAAATAGTTATTTCGCTGACATAACGATACACCAGAATCATATAGCGTACAACCTTGGATGGTTTGTGCAAGCTCCGAAAGCTGCAATGAAACCGTGCAATTCACTAAACGCTTTTTATCGTTTGAGTATACAGATCAATGGTATTATACGTAGAGATACTTCTGATGGTGCAAAATCGGCATGCATGTGGGTGATAAATGGGCCTTCATTCACAAAACGCAGCTGAACTCATCGAGGTTATTTGAAAGCTTGCATGCGTCCACTGCTAAAGCTCTTTTAGGTTATATTTCGACTTCATTGGCTGCGCCCTCAAACTGCTGGAGGAGCTCTATGTAGGTGGTAACCAAAAAAAGGATTTCAAATTAGAAGAAGAAAAAAAAAAAAAAGCTAGATCTATAAAGTACTTGGTGCCCAGCAGCGTCTAATCAAGTTATTGAGAAATCAACTCCCTATGACCAACTTACCTTACTTCAATCTTAAATTCGAAAAAAAAAATATCTATAATGAATTAACTTTTCAGGATACCGTAGTCTATTATATAGTAGTCGAAGTTTTAGTTTTAAAATGTCACGGCATGATAGAGAAATCACATCAACACTAAAAAATACACCACACCTGCGCCATACCACTCCGGATGAGTGTTTTTTCCTCTAAGCACGCCAACTGCGCTGCGGCGAAGCAACATACGCAGGATCGAAACGCCTACTTCGCGGGTGTCGCTTCTCCGCAGTGTCCAGAAGCGCGATCAACAGAGTTAACTAGCTCTGTCGAGCTAGTTAGCTAAACAACTTACCCATACTAGGGTGCCTCAATGTCCTTCTGTTTAGGGTGATGCCACCCTTTGTAGTACCCGATGCCGACAGCACGCGCTCACGGGTAAAATACAAAGAAATCGACGAAAACAAAATGTCGCCATAGCACAGTCAGCGCCACAAACGCGTGCAGGGACACGCTCTTGCACGCGCTTCTGAACAAAAAATAAAAATAAAAGCGTGAGACAAAATGGCCAGATGTCTCCACCCTAAGCAAAGCGCACATGAAGGCACCCTACCCCATACCGTCAGTGCTCGATACGAAGACAAAATCAAACGTTATTCTAATCCAGTGGTTCTCAAATGGGGGTCCGCGAAGCCCAGCCTCATCAATCAATCAATAAAAGTTGTCTTTTCTCCGCTTGAGAAGAAACGTTCCAATTTTCCAGTGAGTTTTCTCGTGTATATGTCAATAAGAGAAGTCTACTCCACAATAGCCCCTAGTTATATCCATTTATTAAATCACTTTTATAATGAAACCACAAATTTTCTTTCGCCTCACCACGAACAGGGTCCTCCATCATATCCGCCGATTCACAAGGGGTTCGCGAATCATCAATGCTTGAGAACCACTGTTCTACTCGATAATCGCCAACCGCAACGATCCGGCAATACAGCGGGTCCTGTCCTGAGATATCAGTTTTTAGAAAAAGAAATTACTAAGCAAAGTGGCGATGCAGGCGAGTTGGTTCATTATTACAAACTGGTGTATCACTATGTCACCAATTTGGTCGCTGCATCGCCAATTAGTAAGAGCGAAATTAATTTCTGGGGCAACGTTGGCGCTAAGACCTTGCGACTCGGTAAAATGTATCGGGATAACAAGAACTTCGGCGTAGCAATCAGATCACTGTATATCAAATACAAAACACGGGACTCGTGTTTTGTTCTCTCTTTCACGTCGGGTACGTGGAAGAAAACCCTAGTCTGAAGAGAGAGAACTCAGTTCGTCCTCTACCGTCGGACAGAGTCGACAGATCGCGGATAGGAGTGGTCTCGGGACCGATACCAAGGCCCATCGCCATTCCTCGCACGAACTGCTCGAGAGCAGGCCTCAGCCGAGCCCCAAGCCGTGCCCCCCAAGCTCGTCCCCGTTCCTTCTTGGGAGCCTCCCTGCCCTCCTGCCGAACAAGATGGATGGGACTTCCGGCGACTCGCCTTGTTTCCGCCCGGGCAACCCCGCGACAGGTTTCGCCACCCTCTAGTATGGTTACTTTCTTCTTTATTTCGCTTCAGTTCCCTCCTCGGCGCTCCGAGTGGCACAGCGGCAACGCCTCGTCTAAATAGTGGCGTCACTTCCGGCCCGAGCACGTGCGCTCGCGAGTCGTGTGTAAACAGACCGGGTCCTCCCATCAGCCTTGTCGACACCCAGCAACCGTGTGGCACAGAGAGTACAGTCAGCGGGTAACACGAGTTGAATATCCAATCCGTCCTCTTTCAGCATCTGTGGTCCCCCCCCCCCCCCCCCCCCCCCCCCCCTACGCTTCGTCTCTCCATTCGTTACACTATATTTCAGAGAACGGGAGGTAAGACTTCGCGTTCCACCACTCGTTTGGACCAAAAACTTTTTTTTCAGACAATGACAGGCAGGCCAGGCAGCAGGCCAGCGAAAGATGAAGGACCGTTTCAGCTCCTATTGTCCGCGATAGTAGAGTCAGCGGCAGCATGAGCTGGTCCAGTTTGGGTCCATATCACAAGAGCGAATGACATTTTAGCGAACGGCGACATTTTAGCGAATGGTCGTTTTAGCGAATAACGGGGGCGCGCGTTAACCCATCCGTCGCGCTGCGCTTTACGCCGCTTCGCGGCGACAGTCTGCGGCAACTCATTACAAAAATATGAACTCATTTGGCCCACCCGAAAACGCCGCTTCGCGGCGTCCGACTATTCGCTAAAGTGTCGTTCGATGAAACGTGGGCGTTCGCTAAAACGTCATTCGATCAAGTGAGTGCCTCCCGTCCAGTTTTGTTGCTGGCCGAAAGGGGCAAAACGTCGCACGGGGCGCTTCCGGCGCGCTAAGATATGGAACCGACCGTCACATCGCCACATTGGGAAACGTGACAGTCCATTCCAACCATATTTTTAACAGCTTAATGTACCCGGGACTCCCCCGCACGGCTCTTGTGCCGCCCCGGCCTGAATGCAGCTTGCCCAGCTCGTATTAGAGAGTTTTAGTAGATCGTTCCGATACCTCCGATAACGATGTATATGATGCACGCGCAAAAGTGTTGGCGGAGTTTCGGGTATCGTTATTAGAGCCATGGGAACGATCGACTGTGTTACCACACCCTGCACAGCAGACCGCGAAAACGCGATAGAAATATCTGGGAACTTTCGTGCATCTTGTTCCCGCAGAACCATACCGGTATACTTACAGCACTACACGTTAAAAACTCGATACTAAAAAAAGAAACAGAGAAATCGAAAAAGCTCCAGCAGAGACATGGCGCCACAATTAGACGCCAATGTGGCGCCATCTCCCGGCTGAAACGCGTACGCGGCGCGACCTGAGAATCGCGTGAAAATGTCACTCAGGTTTTCCGAGCGTACGCAGCCACCGCGCGTGATTGAGAAAAACCAGAAACCCGTAACCTTCGGCACAGACACAGACACAGACACAGACACAGACACACACACAGACAGACACAGACAGACAGACAGACATACAGACAGACACAGACACAGACACACACACACACACACACACACACACACACACACACACACACACACACACACACACACAAAATAAAAGCACGAGGCAGGGGTGGATTATCTCGACCACGCGGGGTTTCTGATCTCTGTAGCCAGAACTCATTGGCAAACTCCAACACTGTTCCACACACAGGACGCGGCAAATACGATGCCAATGAGAGGGCGTGCGTGCACTTGGGAGCAGCCGTAAGCACCGTGAGTTTGCGCCTGCTCCGTGAGTGCCAAGGAGATGGAAGGCGGGGGGAAAACTCACTTGAAGAGCTTCTCGGCCCATTGCGCATCATCATCTGTTTGGTGATCTCGTGGTTGATCTTGGAGCGCCGGTACTGCAGCTTGCCTCGGCACGTGGCTGCGCGGGGATCAGAGCCCTGGGAGACACGAGAGAAGAACAAAACGACACTTTAAGCCAAGGAGGCCACTCGCTCCGCCGACGGCTAAAAACTCTCTGGTGAAGGTTTCGCGTCTGCGGCGGCATACGACCTAAACACGGCTCACGCTACGAAGCAACTCGGACAATCATGTGGTGACCTCTAACTTGTATCATTCGTATAATCCAGACGCGATGGCGACACTCAGTATTTTATGGAAAAGTCGAGCTCGAACGGTCTGTACGCGGTAAAAGTCAAATTTGGGGGTTTTTACGAGCCAAACCAACGAAGGGCATCTGGCACGCCCCAGCGGAGGACTGAGGATTAATTTCGACCACCTGGGGATCTTTTGACGCGCAACCGAAAGCTCGGTTACCATGGCGCCTTCTCCGCAATAAGCCCTCCGTCAGATTGCGGGCACGTCGGTCGGGATTCGAACCCGCCTGTACGCGGCAGCCAACAAAAAACGCGCGAGGTATGTACATAGGCCTAGAAGTAGTGCACACGGTCGCAGACAGCTTTCTCGTGGCAGTTCAGAAGAAGCGAGGAGCGTGCGTGCACAGATTTGATGGGTGCTCAAGTTGCGCAAGCGCGCGTGTGCCCATAGCTTTGACTACAGGGCCACGTCAAGTTCTCCCGCGAATAGAGTGCCTACGCCGTATCATTAGTGTTGCAGTGGCATCGAGCGTACCTAACGCACATAACGAAGGTTCCCTTCTCAATCGCTGAATCATCTCGCACTCCTACGCTAGCGGTGTCTACTCGTTGGTTCAACCGATTCCAAGGGGATTAATTACCTGTGTTATACAAAGCCGGCGATACCGGGTTAAGTCCACGTGGGTCTACATTCGGGCAAATCAAGTACGAATATAAAACGGGCACCGACGCAGCTGCGGGCAAATCCCCCGGGACAAAAGGCCAACAAGAAGGCTACACTACACGACGCCCTTTCGCGGCCCGCGACCCCAAGACTTGCTCAGCCAAGCAAAGCTGCAGCTCTTCTCCTCCTCCTCCTCCCTTCACAAACACACACACATTTCTCGTTTACCGAGGCACGGAAACGAGTCAACTTTGTGAAAGCAGGAGAAAAATCAGGCTAGGCCAGGCTATACTCTATCTCAGGAGTTGTGTGCAGCAAAGGCAAAGGCATTGGCGCGGGCGCGTAACTTTCAAATGTGTTTTTTTTTTTTTCGCGAGTGTTTGTGAAAGGAAAGCAAATATGAAAGCCAGGCCCTCGCGCCTGTGCGCTTTTGCCTCTGCTGCACGCAACTCATGAGATGCAGTAAAGATAAGAATATTGGTACCAAACAACGATGCTCACACCTAAAGAAAAGCCCCTTACGACAGTACGGTGGGACGTTGGGCGAGTGGTTGAACATGATTAGGAAGAGCGAACAGCGGGTTTCGCGCCGTCGATCGCACTCCATATTCACGCGGGCCCATTTTGCGGCAGCCCTCCAGATTCCACATTGACGTCACGCCGCGCATCACGTCACCTAAACGATAATAACCCCCTGGAGAAGGGGAACACGGGGGCAAAGAACAAACACAAATCTCCAAACACAGCATAATAACTTATGCACGCTAAATATATATATATATTATATATATATATATATATATATAATATATATATATATATATATATATATATATATATATATATATATATAAAAGCCTGGTGCTGAACCAGGGATCTCTCCATTTCCAGTAAAACGCTCTGCCGACTGAGTTTTTTTTTTTTTTTTTTTTTTAATTAAAAGACGGGTTTTATCTTTACTGACTGAGTTAACCCGGAGTTAGACGTCAGTAGAGGACACGAGTTTTATCAGCTGCAACCAGTACAACACAAACCAGGGTGAACAGCCAGGATTTTAAGGTTACGATGTTAATGCAATAGACCTCGGGGATGTTGGGAACCCTCGGTACAGATCACGCGCTTTCTCGTTGCGCCTCCTCGACTGCGGGTGAGTCCAACTCGGCTAATCGAACGTTGTTGCCTCGGTAACCTGTGCCTGCTCGCGTATGTCACGTGGTAGCGGGAGGAAAGACGATGGGAGGGGCGTACCGATGACTCCCATTATTCGTCGCGCGGCGCGCGTGGGCTTTTGGGATTTTTTGCAAAGGGTCTATTAATGCAAAGTTGCAGGCGAGCTGGACAGAATGAACGATCGTTCCTTCTGTCCAGGTCGCCTGCAACTTAGCATTAATTGCATTAACACGTCACTTGCTATCTGGCATCAGCTGACTCCATGACGTGACATTGTCATGTCAAGTCACGTTGCATAGTGACGCCACGCGACTTAATAACGTCAAGTGACAATACGTCGTCCCGCGACGGCACGTAGAAACATAAACACGAGACTGCTGACAATGGAAACAATAAAAACAAAGCGTATTCGCTAATTACGCCTGAAAGGTTCTTGGACGATAAAACCAATAAAGCGTGAAATTATGCGGAGCTACACGCTCGAAACTTGAGAGCACGACTTTCGAAGTGTTCTTCAGTGACCACAAGGCGGTGTTAGTTTTGTGTCCAATAACATTGTATAAGACGTTCAGGCAGGCAGCCACTTCACACAGACAAGGAGCGGTTCATGCAAACACATGCAGTTTCGTCGTTCCCTGGATTTCAAACTTGGCGCGCGATTTTCCAAGTGTTCTTCAATTACCACGAGGCAAAACTAGAACAGGTTCACTAAATGCCCTCTACTTAATACGCCCTCATTGGTTCCAAAACGCTATGGAATGTTCGTCCGGTGTGTTCCTCGGTTTAAAACGAAACGCCTATGCGGACTCCATGGTGCGCACTCGCACCTTTACCGTTCATTCAGTGCACCGGCTCCAGTGACACCTTAGAGGCTCCGACGTCAGACCTTAGCTGTCGCAATGTTTCACCTTAAGGGCAGCGTAATTGCTAACCTATTTCTTTCGTCCTTCGTGTTTTTTTTTTTTTGTTTTTTTTTTTGAGGGGGGGGGAGGGGCAATGTTTACTCTTTGTACCCTATTTCGGCACCAGCGTGGCGGGACAAGCGGTGATAAGCGCCCTGCATGGCCTCTTTGTAGCTGCGCGAGAAGAGCCCTCGTTCGCAAATATCGATCGTGGAATGTATTCAGCTGGACACAACGTGCTACACTGTGCTCGGGATGTACATCATGAGAAACCGCGTCTCCTTGTGCATTCAACATGTCCCCCCTGAATGTGCACTCACCACTGTTTTGGCGCACGTGCACCGACGGCCTTCAACGGGGGTTTGCGATCCCCGTGTTGGCTGAGAACAGCGCTCATACCGTCAGAGTCGGCACACTATGCACCCCGGGAAGCTCGCTATCAGGACTAAAGGCTGAAACACGTGTGCGAAAGAACAACAGAAAATGGCACGAAATTAATTCCAAAAATGCGGAAACTGTTTCCCCGCTATTTTCTAGAACCGATGGTATTTACTGCACGTAAATCACAAATATGGTTTCGTTAAAAGCATATTTGCAATTGCTGCACAATAAAAACCGACGCGCGTTTTTCTTTTTTTTTTTTGTAATTTTCGTACGATTATTGGACATCTACGAGAAGGTCAAACACATAAAATCGACGAACTGATGCAAACGGGTAGTTATACTTAATTTTTCTTTGGGGAAGGGGGGGGGGGGTGGGGGGGGGGGGGGGGGGGGGGCGGACTGCTACTGTGCGAGTAGTGACTCGGTTTTGCGGGCTATAGCAAAACAATGACGTCACACAACAAATTATACACGACGCAGTGACACTACAAAGGCTATCTTGATCGTAGGCTCGATCTCACTCATCGCCTTCTTCGGCCGGCATCGCGCTTTGCAGCTTTTTATTACGTTCAACCATTTTGAGCGTGGAAGGCGTCTTGTCTGCTCCACGCGAACACGGTGCGCACGCAATGGCCGTGGAAGCCAGGGAGTCCCGGCCCGCTGCTTACGGAGAAGTCGCAAATGACGCGAGCTTCGTCGTATAAGGTAACAGAGACCTCTTTCCGTCATTCCAGCGTGTCCCCTTTTCTCGAGCGCATTTCGAAACAGGAGCGGACTCATTTTTTTGTGTGTGTCTGCGCGCCTGCCTCTCGCCTTCTGCTCGCTTCTCGCGACACACGGAATGGGGACAGAGCACGAGCTACCTGCCGCCGTGTCCTCTTCTCAATACTGGTCTTGCCTTTTTTTTTCTCTCTCTTCCCACCAGGGAGGCAACGTCTGCGTAATCTCCGACTTGCCTGCGGACAGAGGGCGGACCAACTTTCAAGCTGGCGTCGCACACAAGCCGAGCGCCCAACCGCGAAAATCCGGAGCGAGATTATCTATATCGTTCGACGATCACGGCGACTTCTCCCAACTTTCGAGCGCTTCACGTATCAGAAAGCTACCTCCGCGCTTCTCGCTCTTCGTTTTTATCTGGCGCCATCCGTTTCCCCCCCCCCGAAGAAACAGACACCGGATCCAGAAATGCCCGGCGACGAAGAAGACTGCCCGGAGACACGCGCGAAATCGAGGACGTCCGTCGCGCGCATCTTCGCACCGGACAGCCGCGGATTAAACCCCGTACAAACCCAACAATTGCCGACCAGAAGAAAACCGGGCAAAAACACCGCGAGTCAAGTTCGGCGTCATCCGCGCGAAACTCGAAAGAGGCTTAGAAACAAGTAGACGACCTGTTTGAGGGCGATCACCAGGTTGTTGAGGTTCTCGATCCAGGTCTCCATAGCTTCGGTGGTCGGGGCTACAGTCGCCAGAGCCATGTTTGCGTACGGCGTGCTCCTGCGCCCGTCCAAACGAAGCAGGCCGGTGTCGAACGCACGGTCACAAGAGTCGCTTCGTGGCAAGTGTCAGGAGCACATCGCTCTCCGAACACCCTCGTTCGAACGAGAAGAGGCACGTTAAAAATCCGCACACCGACGACACTACTAGCGACAGAGGGCTCGATATAATCCGGTTGGACCGCACACAACCCACTTCCCACGAAGATTTAGCCGAGACGCAGCGACGTCTCGAAGAGATCTCCACGGTGGTTTACAAATATGTCGAGCCAAGCGGTCCCAAGTGATCGGCGATGCACAGCTCGCTGGAGAAGAGACGACGCTCGGACGACGGCGACGTTTCGGCACTGGGAGTCGTTCTCCGAGGGGGGAGAGCACGAAGTCCCTGCGCGACCCACATCGGCCGCCGCCGCTGGAGTGAGGGAGAGGGGGGCCAAACAAGCCGCTCTCAGCCTCCGCGCTCCTCGCCCAGTGTTGGCTTTCCCAGTTACGTACCGGTGGCGGCCACGCCTACCTGTTTGCCGTGCCGGGGGTGATTCTTACGTCGCCGAGTCGCGTTCTCGGAAAACCGCGGCAAATGAAAGAAAATCGGGGACGAACGAACGCGTCGGCGACGAAAACAAGACGAGGACAAACAAGACGTGGTCGCTGCAGTCGCTGGCGGTGGGACGACTGCAGCAACTTCCCAACGCCCGCGAGCGACAACCCTCCACGCAGTCAAACCAGTCTATAAGACAATTTAAACTCAGATGCTACGATGTGTCGGGGTATGCTCGCTCTCGGGCGGGTGGACTTTGGAGGCAACGTGAGAGTGCCCGCCGACTTTCCGTATCTTTCTTCTTAAACACTAATACCGCTGTTACACGGGCACACTTAACTGCAGTTACGCTAAACCACAATTAGCGCACAATACTTGCCGACAACATTCTGCGGCGATGCAGTCAAGAGCTATGGGCGAACGTGCGCTTGAGCATCTTGAGCACCCATGAATGCAGTGCACGCGCTCTCTTCACTTCTTTTGAAATAGCTGTCCGAGGGCATAGTGCGGCATCTGTGCTGCCACGTAACCGCAGTTAAAGCTGAGTTAACCGCGGTTAAGGGTGCCCGTGTAACAGGGGTATTAGTATCGTTGCAGTGTAGCAGAAAACGAGACGACGACGCTGGAAGTGAAGTGAAGACGGGATCACATTAAATCTGGGAACTACGTATTTACACCGAACCAACTTTGGAAAGATTTGTGAGCAAATCAAAACACGAATGGACCCGAACGGGGAGCAACTCGAAGCAGCTAGACTGAGGGCTCGTTTTTTCGTCGAGACCTCGTCGAGCCCGAGGGGTCGACGGATGAAAAGCAAAGGAGCAAAAGGCGGCAGCAAGAAAAATACGCACGAAGTTGGAAGTGCATTGAATACGACGATGGGCCATCGCCGAAATAAAAGCGACGAGCGAAGGGGACCAAAGGGCGACACTCGCTATTCTACGACGTCGAGAGGAAAGAAAAAAGCACCAGTCGAAGCGCAGAATTCAGCGAAGACGAAAATCGCGCGTTCTTCTACTTCTTCGTTGTGTCTCCCCAGCCATCGCGATTCCTGGGGTCAGTGCCCGACCGGCCGCAGAGCAGCCCCGGAGTGTTCGCATACGACGACCGCCAAAGTCAAAGCGCGTCACGACGGTGCAAAGGAAAACTCGGGTCAAAACTTCAAACGCGGGGCGGCGGTCATTGCGGCCTGATTTTACGCAAGTTGTCGGCCTGAAATCCCACTCAACTTCATTACCTACTTGATCCAGATGCCAATTCTCCGCCAATGGCTCAAAAGTTGGACTCGGAAAGTATATGAGGACGTGACAAGAGCGATGTAGCTCTTTGTCACCGAGAAATCGCCCCCCCCCCCCCGCCCCCCACACACACACACACTTCCGCCGTGTCATTCGGAAGGTGGGCCAAAGATATTTCGGCGGCCACTTATCCAGTCCCTCACTCTGGAACTCAGCATGGACTCTTGTCACACCCTTTCCACCCTCCTCTGCTGGTAGGCGAAATATTTGGACGCAAGGACGGTGCCGCAACACTCGCAGCTAAAACACTCGACCGTCTACCGCACCAAGCATCTTAAGGGCCACCCACACTAGCGAGAAAACGCGCCCGGCGCGCCGATAAATCGGTTAAGCGGCAAGATAAAGGGCGTGTCTCTGCACGCGCACGTGGCGCTGACTGTGCTTCGGCGACATTTTGTTACTTGCCGCGATCGGCGTGCCACGCGCGTTTTCTCGCTAGTGTGGGTGGCCCTTTACAAGCAAAGAATCCGCGTTTTGACGAGCAACCGGAACAAAAAATAAAAAAAAAAATAATAATAATAAAAAAAAAGTGCTCGACGTTTCTTGCACGTCGATGTTCTTTGTCTCGTGGCATTCGGCGGTCACAGCGAGTCAGACTACCGCGGAGGCGTCGTTCCGCGGGTGCAGGAAGCAGCCTTGTTCCGCAGCTTCTCCCAGCGCGACATCGACGGGACGACAGAAGGACAAGCCTGTTTTTTTCCGCGTGTCAATCTGGTCACGCTAAGCTGACGCGGACGACAGCCGAGAGGAATTCGGAAGCCCGCCCGTGCTTCCACCCGGCATTCTTCCTTGGCCAGTCCAGTTTCCTCCGGAGACGGGCGCTTCTCCCGCTGCGCCACGTCCAGCGTACGCCTCGACAGTTTTCGTCTTCCTCGTGGGAGGTAACGGTAAGAATTAGAAGAAGCCCGCGCTCGCCTCCTCCCCACGCGCGCGCGCGCGCGATCTAACTGCCGAAACACTACGACGCCTTTCTTACAGCTTGGGCGCCCGACCGTGTCACGCGAGTTGTTTGTCGTCGGAAGCAACGAACCGCGCCGCTGCACCCAAAAGACCGAGGTTTAACGCTGCTCGAACCTTACTTAAGATGCCGCGTAACTTAAGCCCCGAAAGATACCGAGTGGATGTCGGGTCGAGTTTAAGCGCAGATATTGGAGCTGTCACCCAAATCGACAAAACTTTTTTTTTTTTTTTGTATATAGTTATGGTTTGTAAGGTTCAGAAGTCTACAGCAAAGCATGAAGACCTTGAAACGAACACGTTTACCGTAATTTATGCACACCACAGGACAAACAATTCAGCGAACAACAAAGCCTCATCCTAAGTATAGAATAAAAATGAAAAGACATTTACAAATCTCTGTAATGCGAAATTAGAGCTCAGCTCTTGAGGAGGGGAAGGGTATACCCCTCCTCCTCCACCGTACCTTCCCATCCTCCCACACTTTCCCCGCTACATTTAGCTGGAAAATTGACGCCACGAGACCTCAACACCAATTCGATTTCCCGCTAAATTTAGCAGGGAAAATGACGCCACAGGACTTTCGTGCCACGTCACCTATGAACAAATCCAGTTTCTCCGCTAGATTTAGCGGTTAAAAATTGACGTCACGTGACCTCAACACCAACTCAAATTCCCGCTAAATTTAGCGGGACGGTTACACCGAGAAACGCAAAAACGGGCGCCTAAGAGCTGCACTCTAAAACACATATCGCGGTGATTAAATAGTGAATGATGTGGCTGCTGCACCGCCTGAAGACAAAAGGGAATCATAAACGAAGCACCCGCTGCTAATTCATGAACACGCGTCGGCCCGCGACCTGACCAGGAACGGAGCATTCGAAACGCCACGGTGAAACACTGGCAGAGACCTTGGGAATGCAACCTGAGTTCCATTCCCAAGTTGTCCAGCTCTTCCAGGCGCATGTTACCAGACTAATTACGAAGAAGCAAAGTGAGTGTGGCAACGTCCTTCCACATAGTGAACATCGCAAAAAGGCGACGGATGTCAGACCGACTTGACCTCTTTTCGCAGATATCGAAGAACCCAGGAACGGACCCAACGGAACATTGATGAACACCAGACGTAAGGTTTGGAAAATACGACTGCCTGATGAGTTTCACCTTGAATGTGTTTTCGTTTAGCGAAAACAAACGTCGGCTTGACAGGGTCCCGAGGAAGCGCGCGTCATTTGTTGCCCAAACACGAGCGATCTTACAATTCAAAAATGAAAGAAATGTCTGCCTCAGTCCACGCCTAAAAATTAAAAAAAAAGCACGAAACATGCGACTGAGTGAAGTGACGATTTCCCAACAGAGTGGGCATGAAGCCTGGAACCCTAATGCTTCTTTCACCGCGTAGCACCGGAGCTCGGCAGTGAAGTAAACCTACGGTCAACGAGTCGAGCACCCAGTTCGCGCTTTCAATCCGTTGTCCTTCCGTTTTTGTTTGCTTTTTTCATAATGCAATAAAAATATGTTTTAAATTTATGAGGTTGGCGTGCCGAACCAACGAAGGTTATCGGCCCATCCTAACGAAGGACTGGGGAGTAATGCAGACACTTGTGGGTGTAGAAAGCAGGACGTCTATAACACAATAAAGCGCGAAACACATGTACGACGAAACTGTCCGATCCGACGTCCGACCGCGCAATACGACGGTCGGAGGCGAGGGTTTTCAACGCTCTCCGATGCTACGAGCACCCTCTCCCCCCAAGGTCATTCCGGCAGTCCGCACGTCGGATCGGAAGGTTTTCGTCGTACATGTGTTTCGCGCTTAAATGTCCGGAGTGCCAGAACCTCGATCCGAATTCAAACCTGGAAACTGATTATCCGTAGGACGGCCAGGCCACACTGCCCCGGAGCCGGCTGCATTCCTAACCAAAAACCAGAGAGTGAGTGGCTGTCCGGACCTACATGATAAGCATGTTCAAGGCCCCCGTGGAGGACACGGGCAAAATTTGACGGAGAAAACTCCCCCCCCCCCCCCCCCCCAATCAAAAAAAAAAGTAAATAAAGAAAACGGACGAAAGCGGATTGCCGTACGACTTATGTCGGAGTCCTGACGCCTCGCGATTCCTGTTTGGACGGGCCTTGACTGTGCTTTCTAGCGACGATACAACGTCACGATGGTTGGCATCCAGGTAACCGAAAAGCCAACACGTTCGAAAAAAAACAAACAGGGGCAGTCTTTAACCAAAGATACACTAAATCACAGGCAGGCGCAACCGATACAAAGATTTCCATTCAACTTAGCCGAGC